AAAGAATCCAATGTTTCCCAACCAAAACTTTTGGTTAATTTTTTTGTACCTACTGGCTTATCAGAAAATTGTAATTCGTGAAAAACCCTTTGTAAAGCCAAAGCAACGCTTCTGCTAGAATCATCACTTTCTGTTGGCATTTTGTAGACTGCTTTGCGTAACTGAAAACAAAGATATAGATATTTAAACAACTATATTATAGATACAACCAGAAAATTCAGTTACAATGAAGTGTAAGTACATACAAAAGTAATACATTTAATTGTTAAACTCCTTAAATATTCAACTTACTTGATTGGTAAAATATAAAGTTTGAAGCAAAGAATTCATGTAACATGTAGCACCTTGATTTTTTAAACCTACAAATCCTGTATGTTTTTTACTGTCCCAACTGACACCATGTGGAGCATCAGCTGTTACATGAACCTGTTTAAAAAAATTAAATATTTTAAGGAAATACTCCTAAAGAATATAGTTTTTAAATTTTGTTTACTGTAAAATAATATAAGCATATTACTAACCTCTAGTGTAATAGAATCATCTTTAATAAAACCTTTATCAGGATCAAGGACATCTTGCAATGTCATAAAATGACTAAATCCCCAATCATTTTCTTTACTGTAGAATAGGTGCTGAATCTCTAAAATGTAGATGTATATGCTTAATGAGATGTAATCGATTAAATTAAAATTTACTTAAATAAACTGATATTTTAGATTATACTAACTTCTGCTGAATGGTTCCTGTCCTTCTTTACAAGAAAGTAACCGAAGATCTGCAACTGCATAACAACTCCATGATGCTGATTCACTTTCTCCATTACATTGAAGAAAAAAACCAAGCGACCTTTGTTGTGGTCTTTCTTGTGCTTGACTTGACCTTGGCATTATCATTATTTTCCATGGCAAGTTACGAACGTAACATGGTGGTGATAGTTGAGTATCTTTCATTTTTGAAACATTTTCTGCCGTGTAGCGAAATGTTGCTTCTGATCTTGCTTCATCTGTTTAAAAATAAAGTTCTTACTCATAACATCACAACAAATAGAGTGATATAATAAAATCATGTCTAACTGAAGTTAAGGATGTTCCTATTTTCTGTAATTATTATAATTCAATTATAAAGAATTATGTAAATTTTTGCAAACGACTCAAAATTTTGTTCTTTACAAATATCTTATATAATCGACAGGCTAATAAAATAAATGTTATAAAACAGCAGATTTAATCAAATAAACAAATGCTATTCTTATCTTACCTTCTTCCATTTCTTGATCTTGAACTATACAAGCTAATTCCGATTCTCCATTCATAGGACTAGTATCATTACCATCTCCGCCACCATCATTTGGTGTTTCTATAAAGTTAAAACATTTGTACATATATCTCTCCCTTTCTCTTTAATTACGTATATCAAACAAATTATTCTCCCAATAATATTAACATACATATACTTGATATTTGCTGTACTTTAATTGGTGCATATTACCAAATAAATATTCTGAACATCTGAGGTAAAAATTATTTATAATATATTTAGAATTACACAATTCACTTAGGATTTTATAATAGTTTTAAAAGAAAGAAAATATATAGAAGTACTTATATAAATATTTGACAAGAACTATGTCAAATTCCAATCATTATGACATGCTTAAAAGACAAATGAATGTTTTCATCAAATGAAAAACTATCTTTAACCTTATACAGGGTGATTCTTATAAGGTGACTGACACGATTATCTGTGAAATTTCAAGTCGTACTAAAAAATTATTCAGACAAAAAATAATCAGTTTCAAGAGGGAAGCAAGGTGGCTGTAATTTACTTTAAAGCTAGTGTGGGCCATCTTAATTGTAAATTAATCTTTTCTAAAAACTATAACACAATCAAAAACCTTTACAATTATGAATAAAAGAAAAGCCAGATATCAATATACATATGCAAAGTATAACGAAATATTAGTTTAAAATTGTTTGTTTTCTTAATCAAATCAATACAACAAATCACTATCTACTTTATTCTGTTTACATAATATATATTCATCATACATATATAATTACACTTAAATAAACTTCAAATATACAGTAGACTTCGATTTTGAAAAGACAATTATATACAAATAAAAATTGATTACGGAACCATATATCGTCAAAAAACGGGAATAATTTCTATAACCTTCAAAGTAAAAATAATAACATATACAACATGAAAATTAAAAAAAAAAAATGAAATAAGATGATGAAGTGAAGGTGAAGCATACCTTCTTGCGTATCCATTTCTTCGACTTCATTGACCTGAACTGGTGCCAGGTTGAGCTGTTTAAGGTTTTCCTGGTCGTTAACGTGGTTCATCGCAATGCCGATATTGATGGTCGTCTTGAATGCGCCGGGTACCTCGGAGGCGGCTTCCGCCGTCGAGGTTACTTCCGAAGGTAGTTTAAATGATATATCCACGAACGAATTTTAAGCACAAATTGGTTGTTGTTCGATGTACCGACTATCTACGTCGAGGACGGAAGACTTTTGCCCGAGCGACTTCTCTGCTGCGGCTGCTCAATTTCAATCGCACCCAGGTTCGCGTCACTACCACCACGATTCGACAGCGACGTTGTTTTACCACACGACGACGATTGATATTTACTCGCGATGTGACCAATTTCAGCAACTATCGCGTAGCCCCAGTTTTTCAGGGGACGCCCACTGTATATATTCCACCCTTGTGCGATATTTTCGTAATTCTTTCGTTGTTCCTTCTCTTGTCGCTACGGTTGTATCTTTTCTTACTCTCGTGGCAACTGTCTTCCTTCCGCTTTTCGGTTTCTACTCACTCGCTCTTTCTCGTCCGATCCGAGAAACGGATTCCGCACCGCGGAACCGGCGCGCTACTAATCGGGAGACCTACGTACTTCTTGCGAACCTCGACTCCGTTACGTCTTAATCTTAATATTTGTTCCAACCTCTGCCAACAAGCCCCCGTGCGAGCGAGTTTTTTTACCAGTTCTTCCAGCTTTCTAACGTGGTCACAGATGCACTCAGCTGACGTTTTCCCGGACGAAGACAGAACGATCTGCTTGGATGATCGTCTCTCGAATCTCTTTTACGCGAAAATAAACAAAATGGCGACAAACCGCACTGCTCTGCTGCCTGCTTAACTGTCTGAATTGCCCTGCATACAGTTCTTACGGGCACAGAATTTTTGTATCTCTTTAGATGGCTTAGTCGATGGAGTGTGTTGTTCAACAGGCGCGGGAAATACGAAATGTTATACGTAGAATATATACAAAGTAGTCTGACATTTTTTGTTAAAATCGTGTTACACACTCGTAATTACGTAAACGAAGAGATAGAAATTCATTATACACGGCCCAAAACTTCTCGTTTATTCTGCATAGATAAAACAAGAGGAGTTCACATGATATGAATTCTGATTGGTCATATTCAGAGATAGGCAAAACCCTAGGCTTCGAATAAATCTGAAGTTTGCCGATGTGTTTGTCTCGTTTCTTTCTCTGGAAAATGTTCAAAAGAGGAAACGAGACAAACATATCGGCCAACTTCAGATTTATTCGAAGCCTAGGCTTTTGCCCATCACTGGTCATATTCATGTTTTAATTCTCAGTTTTAGTCTACCAATCAGAAGTATAACTACAATGGTATCTTCAATCTCATTGGACTGCTGTGGTTTCGGCCAGGGATGTATCGTTCGTCTGTCTGTTGTGTAATAAGTGAACCATAAAATATATTTTAAATGTATTTATCTGTATATAAAACTTTATATTTAAAATTGATTTACTACTTAATATCAAGTTGTTATTATGAATACAAGGTGTCCCAAAAATGTTGGAGGTCCTTGAAAGGGGTGGTTCGGGAGGTGATTTGAAACAACTTTTTCCTTTGCAAAAATGTCGGATGGGGCTTCGTGAAGTAGGTGTTAATAAAAAAAACTCGACCAATCAGAGCGCGCGGATACCGTTGGAGCGGCCGCGGTAGCGAAGGCTACGCGCTGAGCGGCCGCGTCAATATCCTTCGATGCACGTCGAGTCACGTGTTCGCGTACGAGAGCGGCTACCTAGCGCGTAGCCATCGCTATCGCGGCTGCTCCAACAGTATACGCGCGCTCTGATTGGTCAGTGTTTTCCGTTAATATCTCCTCAACGAAGCCTCGGACAACAATTTCGCTAAGGAAAAAGTTGTTTCAAATCACCCCCTGAACCACCCTTTTCAAGAATCTCCAACATTTTTGGGACACCCTGTATACATCAAATTAGCTATAACCATAGTATATTGTGATATTTTTACAAAACAGACTAACCTATACTGTTATGTGTTATTGGATAAACAGTTTAAATAGGCCCATGTATAAGAAGTATTATATCACTAATATACATATAAATGAAATTATAATCAAGGGGAAAGAAAATTACAATATTGTCTGCTTTATACAAAAATAATGACAGGCTCAGAATACAATCATTTTTCATGTTGTTTAATATGCACATATATAAATGCAATTAATGCCATTAATTGCATTATTCATTTACTAGTCATATATAATTCTTATTAGAGATATTCAATCCGTATCAATATATGGTATTCACAATCTGCTGATCCATATGTGGATTAGAATAATTTTAATTGAGGTAAGCCATATATGGACCAGGATAGTTTTAAATTAAGAATTTACGAATCATATATGATTCAAGACAATAATTGCCCGTATGATTTATCAGAAAGTTGGTCTATAATTACAGGCCTGGATAGTGAATGCATTAAGATTTATTTAATTACTTATCTAAGTAATTCATGGGTTATTAATTTATGATTACACTAAACAGAAAAATTTATGAAACTGTGTAACACATTTTCATATGTATTAACATTACGATAGTGTATCATATGATACTTATTATCAATTTCTTGATATACTTAGAAGGGAATGATACATATTTATTTAGTTTCAATGATATGAGAAATAAAATTTCTGTTCTGACCTGCTTGAAGTTGATAATGAAATTTAAATATACATTTTTAAATAATGTTAATTTTTCATCTAGTTTATTACAGTGGGTGGTCCCAATAAATAAAGTTCCAAAATGAACTAAACAACTTACAAATTATAAAATCATAGTTAAAACAACCAGTAAGTTACTTATAGATAATCCTTATCTTAAAATCAGTATTACATTTATATAGTTTAACATAGCTTAGACTTGCATATTGTTTTTTAAATAAATTATTTATTTAAAAACAAATATTTTTTTATTGAAATATTTAATTTCTAATCAATTGTTTCATTGTGCTTATAATGCTTTTAAATATAGAATATTTTAAATAAATATAACACAATGCTTATGTCTTTTAAAGTTTTTAACACTCTTCTAAGTTATGATTTATGCATACATAAAATGTATAAAGCATAGCTATGAAATAGTAGTACAATCTGGAATTTTGTATATGGTTTGAATATTGAGACAACAGATTATTCTGTTCGTTTTTTTTCGCATTTTTATAAATGGCACACAACAATTATATCCTACTGTTGAGACTGCTAATTTCATGAATGGACAGTTTACATATATTTTTCTCTTGACTAGATATTACAAAGTGCACATTATACAATAATATGCTATATAAACTGCACTAGAAAAACGGTTTTTGTTATTCGTGTAAAAAAGTTATGAATGGTTATAAATTTTTCATACACATCTGTATAGAGAAAGAGAGGGAGTATACAAAAAAGAAGTGACATTGGCTATGAGAATTACAATAGCTATGTTCTCACATTCTGGCATTAAAAAATTAGAATGAATAAATATATAATACTTGTGTTGTACAAACTCGACAATGTGAAATCTTTTTCATCACTGAAATTCATATTTACGTTTATTGTAATGAACATACTTTTGAAGTTCCACGAGATTCATCCATAGCAGCTGCTCGTCTTTTTATACCTTCTAAATATACTTCGCGGTTGAACAAACCACCACCAAGAGGAATTCTAAAGTAAATATTAATTGAAAAGTATAATATATTTTAATAACATATTTAAATTGTATAAGTAATTAATACGCACGTATCAATGCCGGGCCTTATGGTTGTTTTAAAAACACCCCATACAGGTTTGTGATCTGAAGTACAAATGCTTGGAACAGAGTCATATACCAAACATTCTATAACTCCATCTTTATATGAATTAGTACTTTCGTGACTAACTCTTCGAATGTATCCTCTTGTGTGCCCTTTTCCCTTAAAGAGAATTCTGTCAGTATACGCGGGTGTGCGTTGCTTACTACTTGAATCGAAATTTTGAGTTCCTGGATCGTATTTATAAGTAGGAGGAAACATAATTGGTGCCTCTTCAAACCCACGTAAAACAGCTCCTTCGTTAAGAATTGTTCGTAATTGATCTTTATGTAAATTTATCGGTGACTGTTGAGGGAAACATGTATCCGTAACCCACTGAATAACTTCTTCTCTTGGTTGAGCTAGGCGAAAATTTAAATCTCCACACCAGAACACACAATCAAAGTTCTGAGTTACATCTGAAAATATAATATTTATTACAAATTTTTATAGTCATAACAATGATAAACTTATATTTGTACCTTTGTTTTTATGTCTTGTAGGTAAATCTTTAGGAAGATCAAGATTTCTAACTATTCTTTTAATATCATTTACTCGTTCTTTGACTTTATCTTGATGTGCGGTTAAATGTGCAGTAACAAAAAGAAAACTTGTACCAAATAACATTAAAGCTATGGCCACTGCTCCCTTTGTTCTAAAAGCGGTCCCTGTTCTAGTTGAAAAATTGGCATCCTCAGCAACAGAACAGAACCAAATTAAATCTCTTCTTAAAAATAAAGCAAGATGTAATGTTCCTAAACCAGTACTAAACAATAGTACATGAGAAGGGCCAAGAGTTTCTTGTAAAGCTGCTTCCCATTCGCTTCGTTCGGAACAGGATTCTTGTGTTCCAATTGCTAATAAATCTGGAACAGTTTCTATATCCGAAGGTAACATAAAATCATTTAACTCTTTCGGTGGACTTTGCCCATTCATGTTCCATGTACCAACAAAAATTTTCAATTCGCGATTTGGTAATACTTTCTCAAGTTCTACTGGTCCAAGCAATGAGTTTGCAGCAATCCTTCCATGAAGAAAATTTCTATAGGAAAGTAAAAAAAATGTAACATTTCTTTATATATAATATAAATATTTTTCTTACAAAATTATAGATTTATCGAAGTTTTTATACCTTTCTCGAGCTTTTTGTGTAGGAATTAAATTAAAGACTTGAGCAGCTAGTAGTGCTTGTTTTGCTAAGCTATCCATAGACGTTCCAGTTGTTTGAGATCGATGACGTTCTTTTTTTTTAGACAAAGTATCATGAGATGTGGAACGTGGTTTGAGTTGAACAGGGGCACTTTTTATAGACTCTGGACTCGAATGTCGCATAGAATTTGTTGGAGAATTTGCTACTAAATTATCTACAGACCGTCTATGAATTAGTCTTTGTCTTAAATATGCAGGAACACTTGGTGAAGTAGATCCAGAGGATGAATTTTCACCTAAAACACCAAAATATTGTGCGATTATATAAAAAAATATAAAATTTGTTAACACCAATACAGAACTTGAATAATGCATATATTCATCAACATAATGTATGGATGAAACCAACTTAACATCATAAATTGGATGTATCTGTAATGAAACCAAATTGGTTCAATTGCTTCCTATTGCGTTCTTGATACTGACACAATTATCCAGAAATTAGCAGGAATATCTATGATTTGTATGAAATTTATGCCTCACTACATCATCTGGAGTTGCTTCATTGATAGAAATTATATTCAATATTTTAACATTTATAAAACAATTTTGATATATTAGGTATCAGTACAAGTGGTTGAATAAAAGAAATAATGTAACATTTACACAATAATAAAATGAAAAGTATTTGAAGAAGCATAAGAATGAAATTTTCAAGCAGCAGATATACTTTATTTATTATACCTTCTTTTCCTGGTTTTTCAGTATTGTTAGATTCATGGTATTGAACCATACTATAAACTTCATGAGGATTGTAGAACTGCCGTTCCATTTCCAAGAAGAAATAAGAGATATATTTTCCTTTTGTAAAATATTCATCCTTGATATTTCTTTCATTTTTTTCATAATCAATCAAAAGTTCATTCTCATCTTCTGATGATTCCTCAAATAAATCTTCTGTTAACTCTGCAGAAAAATCACTATCTTCACTACTTTCTTGAGACACTACTTCTTTTAACAGAAATTTTTGGGCTTCGCGTACACAGCTTGTATTATTAGAATATGGTACCAATTTTGGTAAGAGAGAATCAAAGGATTTTCTAAAGTTTTGTTCATTAGGTTGATGTACATTTTTTATATCATGTACCAAGAATGCAATTTTCATATCTAAATTTCTATCTGAACCACAGCTAAACTCCTCTCTTTCTTTATTCATGTTAATATTTGTTACACTTGCTGCTTTTTTAACTTGTTCAAAACTGGATATATTTGTATGTATATTATTATCATACAAACTTTTAGGAATTTTACTTTCACGATTATTATTTTCAATACTAATAAAATTTAATCCATCATTGATATCTTCCTGTAGTTGAGGTACATTTTTTTTGTTAGAACTATTACTATAAACTTCAATATTTACATTTTGAATACATTCTCCTGAAGCTTCTTCAAACTTTAAATTTTGTGTTGTTTCCTCTGTTACTTTACCACTTTTACTTTTTTTAAATACTTGAATTAATTTATTTATGAAAGAAATTTTCTTTCTCTTTGTTTTATTATCAGTATTAGGCATTTTGGAGTATGTAAAACATGTTCACATGTCAAAGATAAGACTCTAACTAACTGTCAGAAAAGCCTATGTCTTATTGCATTAACACAATGAAAGCAATTCTTTTCCTACATTAATGTCAGATGCACATAGTGGGGATGTACAAGGTTACTACCTCATTCAGTTAAATTACATAATTTACAGAAAAAGAAACGTTGTAATAAGTGTAATTTTAAAAATTACAAATACATTTTACTGAATTTCAAATAGGTTTACATCCTTATTTGAAACTTTTTACTGTATAATGAAGGAAAGTCATTTAAAAATAAAAGATACATAGAATTAGTCAAATATACTAAAATTCGTATGTAAATTATACAATGTAATGTTTAATTTAATGATAGAATATGTAATATTCTTACCTTCAACGAAAGTATTTTGTTGTTGTTCTTTTTCTACAAAAATACTATTCTTCTCCATGTTTTTTTGAATGTTACGTGTAGCACTTGATGTATAGATTTCCTCCTTCTCCACTAATACATCTGTTTGACAATTTCCATTAACAGAAGCTACTTCAGATTTGACAGATGTACGACTTAATGTAGTTGGAGACAATCTACTGACAGTCAAACTTTGCGGTGGTGTCTTGCTGCGTTCAGTCATCGCGCAACACAATGAGAGTTTTGTACTAGTATGAGATCCATGTTGTGAATTTTCCATTTTTGAATTTTTATTTGAATTACCATCTTTGTAAGATGTTTCCAAACAACCAACTCTGGTTTTTTTATTCATAAGCATGCAACATAGAGATTTCTTCTTTTGTTTTGTCTTAGGAGAAATATCTGCTTTAACAGCATTTGTCGTATTAGATGCATCATTCTCTTCGCATGGCTCCATAGTAATATTTGTAATTTTATACTTTGAACACAATATAATTCAATAGTAATGAACAAATTACTTTGCTATTAATTGTGTCAAGTATATAATTTAGAAATTTTAATAGTGTAGGTCTATCTTACATATATTACTACAAAGTAAATCAAGATTTAGGCATTTGCAAAGTGATTCTGAAGTTTGTTGTACAATTATAATCACTCTCTTTTCAATATTATCCATAAGGTAATTTATGATAGTTTCAATGCTCATGATCATTAATAGCACAAACTCTTGAATGTAATAAATATTTATATATAGTCTTTGCAGAAACAATGTGCGATTATCTCAATAATAATTATAATGTATATTTTATTGTACGATGTAGACTAGAATCGTAAAACAAGATATTTAATCTTGTTAATAGTTTATTATCAGTATATTTTTCATGTTTAAATAAATACATTTAGTATTATATTAATATATAATTGCACTTTATATATTAATAAATTTAACACTTTCATATAGAATAATTTTTGTGGAATAGTTAGACTGAAAGTAAATGATACATATTTGTAAATGTATTATTTAGGGTGACAATTCAATTATTAACTCTCCTTGATTCATTTGCTTAGGCACAAAATTCATCTTCCTTAGATATATACATATTTATACTTAATTATGTCCAGGAACTACTGTTGTAAACTTTTTTTATACTATTGTGCTGCAAATTAAATTCGATAAAACAAACATTGTGCCAGTTGAATAAAAAATGTGAATTTGGTTAAAGTTGCGTACACTTTTCTTATATTGTTACGAAATTCACTTTGACTTTGAGCCTCACATTGGCAATGCATTGACACGTCATTCACGTCAAAATCCATAACAAACTGCATTGCGATTGAAAATACTTGACGAACGGTTATTAACTCTAACTTCAGCTTCCATTGTTAAACGAATAGTAAAATAAACGACATAGTATGTATATTATATTCTTTAAAAATTGACTATTGTCTTCATTATAATTACTATTCTGGCAACAATTACGCTTATTACGCATGAACTGTCACACGTCCGAATACTGTATCATTCACCGCTTTGGGGCTGATTTCTGAACTTGCGCAGCTATCGGTCAAGCAGACGACGTTATCACATTATAATACACCTTTTTAAGCTTTATATTCTCTTAGTTAATATTCACTGAAATTACAACGATAAAAAATAAGATTGTAAGATTATACAAATTCTTAATCATTATTTGTGAAAAGAATGTGTTTTTATTTTTAAGTATAAACGTAACTGTCAAAGTGAGCAGACGACATTTATGGACGCCATACTGTTGGCAGAGCCGCTGTGACGCAATATACTTCGTTATCTACTGTATGCACACGATAATACAGGTATACTTGTTGGCTGGCCAGTGCCGTTTGGCGGGTTGCGTCACTATAATGTTTGTTTACGTTTACGATAAGTGTGTCATGCATACGAAGAAATGATAATATACAATGTAATTATGATATGAAATATACAAACATTGATTTTAAATAATTCATGAATTATAGACAAACAAAAATATTTGATGTTCGTGTCAATTTCATAATTCTTATCAATCTTATAAGTCAATCATGTGATATGAAATTAAATAAATATCGTGTGCGTTAAACGAATAGTGGTGTCTAACGTATCATTAAATTTTGATAATAATGTCCATTATAAAAATAATAACTACATAAATTTATGTCTATCGAAGATTCGAGAATGACGCAGAAGCTGTAGTATCCACACATAGGAAATAAAAGTGCGCCGCATATACATGTGCATGCGTTGCCGCGATTTTCTAAATATTCGTTTAAAGTTACTTAGCGAGGAAAAGCGTTTCGATATAGACTTTATCATTATTAGGGTTAAACTATAGTGAATTTCCAATAATAGTAAATATTGGAAATCGTCAGATTATTCCGTCTTAAACTGAATACAGTAATAAAAGAAATGGCACAGTCTGGTAAGTAATAATATTATATTTTAGAACTTACAATTAATTGTAAGACTAATTAGTTATAAGTTTTACCAAATACTTCTAAAAACATTGTTAAAGACGTTCATATTTAACAATTTCTTTAATCGTTTTATCCGCACAGCAATACTTATTCTTTTATTATAGTTTGTTTTGCACTTTAAATAAATATGGAAATCAATATATGATAACATTTAAACATTCAAATATCGATAAAATCGTATTACATATTAGATAAAAAACATTCAATAACCGCCCTAAGTATATGGGTAGAATTCTAATGACAAAAAATATATCTTAATTTTTGGAATTGTCACCAGTTTTAGATTAGTTTTTCTGACGTTAATAGCAATTAATATATAGCCAATTGAATTCAGATACACACAGTGTTAAAAAACAACAAGTAGTGTTGTTAAAAAATGATTGTAGATCAGGGCCGGCTCTGTCCACAGGCCAATCAAGCATCGGTTTAGGGCTCCAATCTTGAGGGGGCGCCCTGGCTTGTTATTTTCGTTTTCGAATAAATTGATAAACATTTTATTTTATTCGTCATTTATTATACATCCATAGCGAGAAAAAATTAAAATAACATTAATATTTTTATTACGTTTTATATTCATTTTTGTAGTTATCGTTACAAATTAAAATCACTTTAACGAAAAAGAGTTCGAAGCAAGGTTCTGGTTTGTTGGGTGATAAATTGAGTTATTTTCAAGAATGTATACTTTAGAGGTAAATAAACACAAGACATTGACATTTTACATTACCATTTACTAATATTTAAACTATAATTATGTAAACCAATCATTTGAGGAAACGGGAAACTATTTATTGCAGAGGGTTTATAGGTATTTGTTTTCGAATTATTCTTCAACCTACATTTTCTGTACCTTTTCCTACTTTAGTTCTTACTTCTAGAAAATGTAATGAATAAAAAGGTCGATTTCTCATCCAAACAAACCAAAGTCCTGCCTTAATATGTTGGGGGGCGCCATTAATCGGTTACACCCAGAGCGCGGGATATCGTTGAGTCGTCCCTGTCGTAGATGTAACGAGGGAGAACGTACGAACACGAACGAGTGAGATAGCTTGATATTAAAAGGAGTAAGATAGAAACGTAATTGGCGCCGCCACCGCGAGGTGTCAGCATTGCATGCGGCTCGCTCGCTAGCGGCCACCATTGTTGAAATTTCTGCTTTGGTTGATGCCCTGACGATTTTTTGGCGAAAAATCGTAAATTCGCCAGCCCCTGGCAAGGGCTTTGTGCGGAAGGTGCGTATCCCGTGATAAGCCCGCGACTATGTCGAAACTGTAACGTCAATGGCATGTTTCGCGATTCGAGGGCCCACCGGGAAAACCCAGTGAAATCGAGTGTGCCCATCGATTTACGTGAAAGAAAGAGGCACCCATGTCCGTGTCGTGTGTCTTGTCGGGGTGTTGGTGTTGTGTGCGGTGGCTGAATTGTGCATGGTACATACGTGCGTGCATGCGTGCCGGTACAATGCAACGCGTTTACCTCGCGCAACATACAATCTGTCGATCCTAGATCCTGTCGCCTAGAGTGAAAAAACCACCCAATTGTTCGTGTTCGCCGAGAGTGAAATATTTAGGCGTCTGTATAGAGAATCGCGCGAGTAACTTGGAAATCTTTTGAATAGGTGCACGTTGTTCCGCGTGTCGGCACACGCGGCTCGCGCGTTATCGATATGATACCATCCAGGTGCGGGAACTACATCCCTGCTTCGCTGTTTCGTTTGTGTGTGTGCGTGCAGTTTCACGGGGTTAGATGTCTTCTTCTTTCCACGCTTTGCACGTTGAGCGTGCATAGGCGTGTGCACGCGCGAACGCACCGTCATTGATGTATGTATGCATACGCGCGGTCCGTGTGTATTTTCTACGGGTGTACATGCGCGGGTTGGTTAACGTGTCTCTCTTCGTGTATATGCGTGCTCCCGTGCGGTACGTATACGCACACTGCATGCCATCGGAATTTACGAAAAAGCACGCGAACTCTCCGTTCTGCTACGACGCCTGTCGGATAAGGAAATCGAAACACACAGTATTACACTCGCATGCCCATCGCTCTCCTCGTGGGTAACATCGGCTATGAAACACCTACAGTGTTATTTCTTACATGGTGCTTCTGTGAAAACCGTTAGAATTTTTTCTCGCTCCTATTCTGTCAGATCCTTCGAAAGTCGACGCTTTACATCTACGATGACTAATTTTCAAAATAAACGACATCCAACGCTGCAAGTAACATCCTCAACTGCCAAACGTATCAACGTTGACACCCTGACAAGATTTCTGAACATTCGTCGTTATAATTACAGCCTTTAACGAATCCCTGAATGTTTCGTGTTCTGGGCGTTTTATATACTTTGTTGTACTTTAATTAATGTGAAAGAGTATTGTTAATTATGTGTTTTCATCAACATTTCTTTTGACAAATAGTTTCTGCGAATCTTTAAAGTTAATATTATAAATACTTAAACTGTGTCTAGTATGAGAACTTTAAAACTATTAATACTATAACGCTCAGTTGTATAATACTTAGCAATAATGAAAGGGTACAACAATCACCATTGAAAAATGTAAACACTGTCGACTATAAATTTGATTTAAAGATTTGTGTTTTGTAAGACATGTAAAGTACATATTAACATTTTAATGTAGGGAAATAGTGACTTAGTTTTCATTAATTTAGCATTAAAGTCAGTATTTTGGCATACTTATGATTGACCTTGCGGATAGCATAGACTATGAAACACCTACAGTGTGATTTTTTATATAGTGCTTTTGTGAAAATCGGTCTAAATTTTTCACCTTGCCATTCTAATAGATTTTGTAATAATTCACAATAAATTTTCAAAATAAACAATATCCAGTATTTTAAGCAACAACAGTAATTGTCAAATGTATCAATGTTGACACCTTTGCGAAATATGTAAACTTCATTCGTTATATTTGTATTCTTTAATGAATCCTCAATGTTTTGTATTTTAGGTGTTTTCATTTTCTTACTTTCTTATACTTCAATTAGTGAAAGGGTACTTTCAATTATGTGCTAATATTATATTGTTATCAGTAAAGAAATAATATTTTCCTTTTTGCAAAGAACTTTTGCAAACCTTCAAAGTTGATATACTTCAAATAATGATCAAATATCATTTTATAATTTGCTTTCACATTAATTAGTAAATTAATAAAATATAAGTGTTTAATTGTGTTAGTCCAAAGAAATTATTCAAATTACTTTACATTTTTTCTACAATAATTTCAGAAATTGGAAATACTTGCAATAGCATATTACAAGGAAGAAAAATTAAAACTCCTAACATATATAATTTATTGAGTAATCATCAGTTTGATCAGAGTACGCAGAATATTAGAAAACAAAGCACAGATATTCCAGATCTGCATTATGGTGTGACTTGTCAAAACACATGGGCTGTTCCCAGCAATGGTAAACATAATTTTTAGCATCTCTTTCACTCATGAGTTATAAAAACGAATATTATATAAATGTTAACATATTGTTTTAATAATACAAATATGAGCATTTTATAAATTTTATTTCTTAAATTACAAACGGATTTGATAGTGCACATTTAATATGATCCATTAACTCATTAATTATAACATTCTTATAATTGTATGCATAATTTCCAATTAACATTTTTATTTACAGGGCCATTCATACTTGAAGTCGCGCCAAAATGGGCGCCATCAAATAATTTCATGCAGTGGGATTATATACAAGAATTGGTAGCACATGGTGGTATGCCAGATATACATGGTTTATGTCAGAAGGAGGAAAATATAGGTGTGTCAAACATAAACTCGCCATATGTTAATCAATTTACAAACTTCTTACAACCGATAAACACCAGGAAAACAGCAAATTCTGATACACAAGAAGGAACATTTGATATATGTTTATCAGAATTTTCAGAACCTAAGTTTAAGAATCACAAGGAAAGTTATAGTACCTATCAAAGTGATGGTAGTGAGATAATAACAACTAATTTACCAAAAACTAAGAAAGTAACAGCTGAAACAAAAACAGAAATTCATCATCATAATAGAGGTCGTTGTTGTTATTTGTCAGAACATCTAAATACTACACACAACATTGCACAGTACAACGCTTTATCAGACATTTTGGAACGGTATAGAAATACCTATAACCTTCTTTGTGCTTCTGAGGAAGACAAACAGCTTAATTCAACAAAACGCTTAAAAAACAGTAAAGACTGTTATAACACGCAAAGAGAAGAGAAGAAAGAACTGTGCAATTTCTCAGACACAAAAGCATTTTTGAAGAATTGTGCCCTCTCAAAACGATCAAATCATTCCTGTAACATAGAAACCTGCTATTGTACAAAGTACAAGGATATAGATTACGGTTTATTAAAATTTTCAGATTTAGGAAGTTTATCTCATAATTTTGATAAACACTTGAAGAGTGAAAATTCTTTTGCTCTTGATAAATATTTGAATTGTAAAACCTCGTTGCTTTTATGTGAGAAAAAAGATACAGACTTTTCTTTTACACATTTGCCACTGAATGTTAAAGATACTAATTTTAAAAGTGAATCTTCTACAGAGGAACATACAAATAAGTCAAAGAACATCTATTTTGCAACTGATTGCAAACCAATATTAAGTAATTGGGAGGATTTCGAAATGTCAGGACAGTATCCAGGTCATAGCCGACCTCCGGTTGGCACACCTCCACCACAAACAGTCTGGACTCATCTTACAATGACGCAAGGTCAAGGTAATACCATTTTAAAGTTTCATATACAAATATTTTTAAATAATAGACATTGTTTTATATTTAAAAAATGTTTATTTTCATTGTAATAGTTTCAGGCTTGAATATTCATCCAACAGCACTGTCAGGTGCTGCCCTAAGTCCTGCTGGGTTTTATACACATCCATCTATGGCAAGGGCATCTCATATAACATCACAACTTACGCCCCAGCTTGCGCATACTCAAGCACCTCCAACGTGGCATACACCAACAGTCCCATCAAAAACTGTTACCCCAGCCAATGCACCAGGAAATCCTTTGTTTAGTTTACAAATGCTGGTAGATAATAGGCAGAATCAAAGTCAGTATAGGAATTCGCCGGGTTCGCAAAGCACGTTAGATTTATCTTCTACATCTGAAATTATCCCTGAAAATTACTCACGAATACCTCAAGATATTCCAATAAGTTTGACTGCAAGAAATGTAGATAAGAGTAGTAGGAATGGAAATATAATTTCTCCGCCGATACCTTTAAATGGAGAAACTTCGTCGGATAGCGGAATTAGTTCGTCAGTTCCAACGCCTAATTCTGTCAGTGAGCCAGTGTCTCTTTCAACTAAAGAAGTTACAACACCTAAAATAACGGTAAAAAACTTTGAAAGCAATTTAAAAGGTGTGGCAAATCTTCACGATAAGATTAAGGAAATCAGTGTAGATACTTTTACGCAAAAAGTTATAAATTTACCACCTAGCGTAACAATCGAAAGGGTAGTTCCAGACAAAAAGGAACCCGAAGTTACAAAGAATAAAGATACGTTAAGTGTTATTGCGCAAATGCCAAGAAATGTTTTACCTGTTATTGTAAATCTTACCTCTAAAGTGGACAAGGATATAACAGATAGTCCAAAAAGAGAATCGTCTATAGAACGAGATCGAAAAGTTGACGAAACAAACGTAAGGTCACCCAAAAATTTGCCAAAAAGAGGTAAAAAGGGTGTAGATTCTTTGTTAGAGAAATTGGAAGGTGGAAATAAAAAACTTGGCAGTGCTGAAAATATTGGGTCTGTTATTGTGATGCCGGTGGAAGAAAAAGATACATCCAGTGTTAAAAGTATGTCCCCGGATAGACAAAAGTCGAAATCCCCGAATAGAGAAGAGGAGGTAGTATCTCCAGCATTCAGCAATGACGATTCTAACGATAATACTAAACAACGCAGGAAAAGAAAATTAGAGAAGCCTGTACGGCTTAGTAAAGATTCCAAAACGGAAGTAGAAGATATGGAGTTAGAGCCTACAGAACCAACAGAACCTAGAACAAGTGAACCAATGTCGGAGGAAACAACTTCGGTTGTAAAATTAGAAGAACATGGCGATACGGTGGAACAAAGAATACCTGAAAAAGTAGAAGAAAGCATAGAAGAAAGAAGCGAAGAAAATCAACCAATTAGAAGGCGGAGAAGTAGTGAAAGTACACCTCCTAGTTCAACTCCTTCGAATCAGAGGGTTCGGAGAAAATCCAGTGACGACGCCACAGAATTTTCAAAAGTAACAAGTCCAAAAGGTGTAAATAATACAAATCCGTTTAACGAAGTCGAATCAGAACTTGAAAAAATGTTTGCTGGTATTGTCGAGACAGAGAACGATGTCAAAAAAGTAGAATCAAAAACAGAACTTACAGAACCTGAGCTTCAAGCTGGCAGCACAACAAAAACTGAAAATTTAGGAAATAGCATTCTGCATACAAAAACATTACAAAATATAAATCCTACCGATGTTTCATCTACGGTCGATACAAAATTATCTGGGAAAAAGGGGAAAAAAGCCAAAGTTCAAGGAGGTAAACGAAAAATGTCAAGATCTTCCGAAAATATTTTTGGAACTATAAATAATGACGTACCACAAAAGGAAATTAAAAAGAGAAAAATGTCTAAAAGTTTCAAAAAACAAAATGTTTCGAAAAAAACAAAGAAGAATACAAAAATAGATGGATTAAGAGAAATGGCATATGACTCGGGATCAAACGCGAGTTCTATTAGATCTCGTGGACCAGTAGTTCATGTTGAAGGTCCAAGGGACAGTCCACTAAGTATTCAGGTAGTTAATGCACCAAGGGAAGAAGAAGAGGAAAAAAATAAAGAAAAGCGGAAGAATGTTGGAAATGGTAGTGCAGGGAGAAGCAAGAGACTCAGTCATCAAAACGATTTGGACTATAGAGGTATGTATTCTTTATTTTTAAATATTTAATTGTGAATCATCGTATGCAATTAACAATTATTTACCCATCACAGGTAAAGTCAGTAGAGCGGGTCTCTTCAGTTCAACATTATCTTCGCGTTACGATGCACATACAACAGATTCTACATGGGTTTGCGTATTTTGTAAACAAGGTCCTCATTCTGTTATACCTGGGGATCCTTCGCGACCACATCCTAATTTGGCTGGGCCTCACATAGCACCTGGAACGTATACTGTACGTTGTAATCTTTTTTAATATTCGTGTTATTAACTATGAATAGTATTGACGAACAGCATTATCCTGTAAATTACAGGTTCCAGCGGGTGTCTTAAGTGATTTATTTGGACCGTATTTAATTGGTAAAGAACGTTTGGAAGATGGAATTCTTTCAGCTGATGAACAAGAGATTACTATAGAACAGAAAAAAGGTGGTAAGAATAAAAGAAGTTTGCGGTATGCTGGACTAGCTGATCAGTTCACTGCGAAAATGGGTAAAAAGAAACGAAATTCTGTTGAAAGTAATACTAATGTCATTTTTACGGGAATGACTGTACTCCCAGGAGAGGAACAACGTTGGGAAGTTTGGCTTCATGAACAGTGTGCCATTTGGGCAGCTGGAGTATATATGGCAGGTATAAAAACGATAATATTTTTTTATATTTATAATTTGCTTTAAATAAATTTTGTTAAAAATAATCTCTTGACGACGGAGAACGCGTGTAGCAGTATTCACAAGACACGTGAAAAATGTAGATCCCGTATAAAATATGAAGCTCGATGTCAAGAGATTAAAATGTATTACGTTTGATTCTAAAAAGAGCGACTTCAAATATAGGTGGGCGAGTAACAGGTTTACAAGAAGCAGTGTGGGATGCAGCGAAGTCGATATGTGACTCTTGTGGCTTAACAGGAGCAAATATTGGCTGTGTTAAGCGAGGTTGTAAAGCTGTTACACATTATCCTTGTGCACTAACAAAAGGTTGGCACTTGGATACTAATCAGTATATACCGAAGTGCAACCTCCATCGAGTTACGTGAAACTTCGGTGAGTTTAACATAGAATAAATTATGAAATATGACCATAATTTGAACTATTGAATCATAAATACTATGTATAAGAGGCGACACTTAAATCTATTACTAGATGGAAGTAGTATTAATTGATAAGGTATTTTTGTTGTTGGAAATCCAAGACGTAAAGTCTGACGATTAATTTATATTTTTCAGCATTTAACAGTTTCGAGACTTTTTGAAATTACGCTTTTTGCATCATTTGATGCATAAGTGTGTTTGAAGTGTGAAAGTATAAATGTCAGGACAGATATATGGTAATTTGCATACACAAAATATCAATATGCTCGACAGAAATACCTTCCAATGTACAAGATGTTCGAACGAGAATGCTGTTGTTGTCTTTAAGAATTACAAACGAAAATGGAAATTAACGGAGATGAAGAAATGGAAGTTCTTCTCGTTAATTAAATTTAATTAATTTTCTTGGCCTGTGGCCTTGAACAGTGGCCTTTTCGACCTAATATAAAAGCAAGATTTTTTAATTTAAAATTTGTAGTATAGACGAGTCGTTGCTGAGGAACAATGTTAATCAAAAAAGTATTTGCTTTTTTACTCATATTTAAGAAAAATTGAAACGTTACAAATTTTCCCCTAAAACATCATGTACGCAGGAATAAAATATAGGGCATATTGTACCAAAATTTGAAGAAAAAATCAGAATTTGGCAGAAGTGTGAGAAGCATAATTTCCGTTAGGAATTTTATGCATGTATATAAAATGGGATGGATTATTAATCATTTAAATTGGTGGAATTTGAACACTATTGACACTTTACATAAGAAGTGTGAATAAGAAACATATAGACAAGTGTTCTCCTGTGAATGTAAGAAATCACCTGTAAATAACAAAGTTCTTATGTGAGAAAATGACTATTATATTATTATACAATTCCAATGATACTACAAGACATTCTTCCGTTTTTAAAAATCATGCTATTTTAGTAAGCATGTGTAGTTATGTTCTTTATTGCGCGAAAATACATTTAGTGTAACGATACTTATTTCTATTATACTTTTTTGGAGATTATTTGTGACATATAAATCTGATATAGGTGTAAATAAATAGATTTTCGCTCATATAATATTTTTGTTTATTTCTTGACCTCGTCTTTTACGAATACGTATTAAAATCATTTCCATACCTAAAGAGAACGGGCTCACATGTTTACTTAAAGAGGACACTTGTAACACCTGTAGTTATTGTTATTAATACGAACTCTATGGAGAGAACATACATTTGTTTCATAAATATTAGCTTCTGCTTTTCTAGCGTGTGACGATTATAACTTCACTGTTTACTATAATTTATGAGTGTGGAACCAGTGATTAAGATTTAATAATGCATATACGATTTAGTGATTAAATTAATCGCTACTTATAAAATTTATGATAATTACTACTGATTTATATAATTTTTTCATATTAATATTATTGTAGTCATCCGTGTGTCATCATTGCTGTCACTATCATTTTCATCATATTTTGTAAGAATGTAAAAGAGACAAGTTTTTGTAACAACAAATGTAAGAACAATGATAATATTGATTCTCTTGATGTATCAGGGAGAAGTAGTATAAATATCAGGAAAATTGTATAAAAATATATAGAATGAAATGTACATAATATTAATTTGAGTAGACAAAAAGAAATATACATAATACACATCAATAAACATGCAAAAAATAGTTGTAACTCCTCCTAGAACACAGAGTATAGTAAAATAAGAATAATCATTTTTAAATATTAATTCTATAGATAACAAAAATTAAATTGTCGGTGAGAAAATAATTCTTTGTACATATATAGCATATGTAGTAACAAATGTCTTGTAAAGAAAATTTAAAGAACATAAAGAAGCATTTTATTTAGAGAAGTATAGTATGTCTGTTTTAATGTGTGGTGAGAAATGGTTTACCGAAAAGTAAAGATTCGGGTTTTCTTTATACTTCTTAAGACGTGGCTCACTATCCTTACACAAAGGACAGTCTTTGTAAAAACAAGTAACAAGTACAGTAAAAATACTACTTAGGTGTAATAAGAAAAATTGAATTGTAAACAAAACGCTTATAATATACAATTATGTATGAAAGGGAAACAAAATTCTATCTTAGATGAATAATTGTAATATTAATATTTGTGATACAAAAAATTTCTGGACAGAATAGTGTGATGAATAATTCCAATATATTCTTATGTTACATTCTAACTTTGCGTACATAGAGCATTTCTTACATCCCCGTGTACAGTTTAATTTTATATTAAACCGTTTTAGCACTGTATACATACTTAATCTATTTGTGGAGAAATTAAATCAAGATATAAAATACAAAGATTTTAAAGATTTCAGAAATCTCTTTGTACGCATCGGTTATTAATATTTAACGAATTTTGAAAGTGACGTAGGCAAACGTTTCACGACCTGTCTTGTATAAATGGAGAACGTATTTGGCTTGTAAATTGCGTAAAAAGATAATTTAAAGCACCGAAATAATTAAGCGCAAAGAATCTTGAATATCACAATGCCTAAGTAATTTGTATAAAATATAGATCTGTAAAATAAAATTGTCGCATCGTGATACGTGGTGAGAGAGGTACGGGAGTAATGATCGCGAATTAAAATCAATAAAAACAGTGTATCTTCCCTTCCTTTTTGTGTCCAATCCTTTATTTTTGTTCTTATTTCCTCGTTCCTTCCTAAAATCGATTATAAATGTATGTACGCAATTTTTATGACCTGGGTTAGTGTCAATAAGTAGTAGGAAAAATATTGGTTTTACTCTACTTAATAGTATGAAATGATAAAGAAATTCGCGGAATGTATTTAAAATCGATACAATAATACAGCTACTTATACATCTTTGTGTAATATAAATATAATGAATAATAAAACATGATGTCACAAGTCGGAATAACGGACACTTTCGAAATAGCCCATCAAATATTACATGAATGTACACAATTTTTTAAATAGGGAATTAACATAGCATTCCTTCTCCACGGTCGAGAATGTTTTTCTCATGGACAACATTACGTGGTCCTTTCGCGTTCCACGCCGAAAGAAACACTTCATTTAATTCAATAAAGAGAAATTCTTAAACAACTTTTAAACCGACAATTTTCTCTTGTGGGTTCCCAGCATTTTCGCTCAAGTGAGTAGCCATCTAGCAGTGAATAGGCCGAACTAATTTTCGAAGTATGGTCAGCACCTCTATCGGAAAAACGCTCAAGTTTGTCCTCAATAGTTCCTCTTTTCACCTTTAGATGACACCATTTACACTGTTTTTTTTTTACGAACAACTGTCGGTAATTACCATCTAAAAGCGCCATCTAGCTGTGAAAAAAGGAACTATTGAGGACAAACTACAGTGCTTTCCCGATAGAGGCGCTGACTAAACTCCAAAAAATAGTTTAGTACTTTCACCGCTAGATGGTTATTCATTTGAACGAAAATACTGGGAACTCACAAGAGAAACTGTGATAGTTTAAAAGTTGAAAAAAGAAGGCTAATTTATAGTAAAAAAACATTTTATACATACCGTGTAACGCGCCATCTGGAAATACAAAGTAAATGTATGCATTGTTATGGGTCTTATCTCTAATATGTCAATGGCTTCTGAGGATCTGAATTCACATTCAAATCCTACGCTTAAATTTTACAACGCGGAATTATTTATTTACAAATGCTGTCACATATCTTTTATGAGATGAATATTAAATAATAATACTTTGATGATTTTTGTCACTCCTTTAAACTGAGTCATCGCTAATAAAAAGATGTCTGGTATCATCATTCCGTAAAAAGTTAATCAACGTTTTCGTAGACCGCGGGGTCCCCCAAAATACGGGACCGAGTTCCGGCGAATGCGCTGAAGCTGCCTTGCGTCGGCCCTGGGCTTTAATCTTCCCACCCTTGCTTACGGAATGAAATGGTCTCCCCTCCTACTGCCACCGCTTGCACGCTAGTAGGCCAGTACTCCCCACCACTCCCTACTGCTCGACAGTGCTCCCCACTTTCTAGTTCTTCTTCTTCACTCTTCACTTCAGTATGCTACCGACCGTCATGAGAGGTGGAGGTGTTATCAAGTGACTGAATCATGGTTGTGTTTTCATGAAGTTTTGTGACTTTCGCGGCGGTCATAGGAATTATGTCGACTCAAAATGGGTAATTTATCAACTGTAGTGAAGTTTAGTGCAGCACTCTTCTCCTGTCTTGTGGATTATGCTTGGGCCGAAAACGAATTACGAGGTAATGAATATAAATTATGCTACGTTATGGTATCCTGGACGGTAGATACACGTGGTTAATCTGATTTATATGATCTTTGTGTTATCTCCTGTCATTTGTTATTTTTGCCGCTATTACGTTAATTGAAACGTTTGCACGATATGCAGGCTAATACATTTTAACAGAACGAATATTTTTTTGTACTTACATTTATAATTAATTTTGTTCGTATTGCCATTACATTTTGAGTTACTATAAACGTATGATTCTAGAAATAGTGTATCTTGTAATCAGTATGCATTGGAAGTGTTTTTTAATTTCGAACATAATGAATGTTAAATTCAACGAGTGATGTTATTTCAATTTTCGACATCGTTTAAAAAGATTTACACAGTTTTGAATTGTAAACTTAACGTTTGCATTAAACAAAATTTAATCAATTATGTGTTGCAAATTGTGCGATATTATGAGACATCGTAAAGCACGTGTTCGAAATATATTCACTTCGTCAAAATATGTTTCTTTACTGTCCACGAAACGCGTCACTGTGACTGACGTGACAGTCGGATCATCTTGAAGCTAATTGTTCTACAATGCTTGCGAGTTTACAAGTGCATCATACCAGAAATCCTCTTTTGATATCAATCGTAGAAAGTCTTCTTTAAACAACGCTTACTGCGACAGTTTATCGAAGATTAATATGTAAAAATAGAGCTACTTTAAAAACACTTCGAAAACAGTTTGCTTTCGATGCGCAAATAGATTTTCAAATTATTTATAAATATTTAAGTAGTTACTACAAGGATACCGAGTACGACTACGTGAAATTTAATGTTCCATTCTGTGCAAATTTTTTTCCTATTCGATGACATTGCTTGGCGGCAAAAAAAAAAAAACTATTTTATCGTTTAACCATCGTCAAAATACAAGTACATATTATATGGAAATTACGATAAATTGATTCGTAACCGAATAATTAGGTTTTCGGAATTTCATTTAGCACGAGATAACGATAAAGTCTTGGACAATGGAATAATGTTGTTCAAACTAAACGCGATTGTATATTATGTTGGAATTCGTGCGAATATTAACATTGTCGAGTAGGGGGTGATAATAAATTTTTCCATAATAAATTTTTCGTGCGAAAATTAACATTGTCGAGTAGGGGGTAATAATAAATTTTTCGTGCGAAAATTAACATTGTCGAATTGGGGGTGATAATAAATTTGTCCACAATAGAGTTATGCGACCAATCGCGGTGAACGAAATAAGGTAGATGTTTGTGGCTTGTTTGTGCAAGTGAAAGGAGACAAGAATCGTTTTTGCGTTGTTGAAGCGCGATTGTGTGCGAGATACTCTAGGTTAGAGAACGCTACCAGCCCTGACCAGGACAGACCACTACTGGCCAGAAACCGTAGATGCAAGGGAAAGGTATACCTCTAGGATGGAAATGCCTCAGTAAAATCTTCTAGAAGGAAATCGTGGAACATAGTCATAACATATTGCGAATGTTTTCATCTTCAATTCAATCCTCTTCGATCACGGAGCACTCGCATTCCTCTTGTGATTTCTTAAATGTTGAATTTATTTATTTATTTCTGTTGAATTTATGTTACTTTAACAAAATGACGAGTAAATATTTTTACTTAAACTAGAGTTACAAAAAATAAAATGAACGAATGATTGAATATTAAAAGTGGAGAATTAATTTCTACACCAAATGGATGTATCGAGTAGTAAAAGTTATTTAATTATTTAACAAGAGTAGAGAATAGAGAATGCAAGTTTTATAATGTAAAAAGGATTGGAATAAATTGATGAAACTTGTTAAACGACATTTAAAAAGGTAGAGGTCTG